CCCCAAAACCCCAAAACCCCATTAATTCGCATAGAATCAAATTAGTGTGAGGAATTATTTGAAAAATTAAAGATTTAAATTTTGACCAATTTTTTATAGATTAGCGGCTATATTTTTAATCATACTTATCCTAAAATTTCTGCAGGTTTTAGCCAGCCTATGTATTTCTAAATTATGCAGTTTTAAGATTGGCTTCATTCTTTTTCTTTCTTTATAATCTCTTCTCTATTCTTAATCATTTGTTCATAATCCTCTCTGATCTATAGATGATCTTCTTAATATGTTTTATGAGTTATCTTGTATTTTTAGAGTGAGTCTCTTACATTTTAGTCATCTTCCAGAATATTTGTAGCATTCATTTTAGACACGTGTTACCAAAAACTCTCAAAACCTGAGTTAAACATTCCTCTCTGTATAAAATCATTTGGATCATAGAATGAATCTATAAAATAGACTGTGGGGTTGGGGTTCTCAAATCCAACAGCCTCCAATAATTTTTGCAGCTTCTTATGTACTTCATTTTCATCAATATTTTCCTTTGCTCTTTAATCAGTGTGATTCTTATGGAAACTCCATTTTGATATCACAAATATTGTATTTTTGAGAAAATCTTTGAATGTACTTTTATAGAATTTCAATCTGAATTCATTAAGTGGATTCTCAGAGACCAAATGTTTAATTTCTAGAACGTATATAAGAGCAGTATGAGAGGGATGTTGCCTAAGAAGAGAGATGAGTTTTGAAGCATTTTAAAAATCTGTTTAATCTTGTCTTTCATGACCTTTACTATCTATTATTCGAATTTTGGGTTAATTCTCTTCTCCAAAAAGAGTGCCATTAAGCATGGTTGTAGCTTTATTTTAAATTTGTTGGCTATTAATCGTGTCAAAATCATCATATCCAAGTAACAGATTACCAAAGGAACTTTTACCATTATTCATTGGGCCAAGTAAAATAAATGAATACTCTTTTCCTTAATTTAGCTAATTTTCTGAAAATTTTAGCTTTGTTGTTTAAATAATATTTTAAATTTCTCCGTATCCAAGGCATATGAACAATAGTATTGAGAATAATAATGTGCAATTTATCAATGCTACTGATAAATAAATACACAGATATACCATTATTTTCACCTGTTTAAATTTCGCAAATTCAACTTTCAATTTATGACATATTTATTTACATAGGGAGAGCAAAAAGAATTAATTTCGTTGAAGATTTTAGTTTCTAGGTGTACTCTCTTCACTTGATGACTAAATATTATAAAACTCCATAACGGGATATCAATCCAAGTGACTTTAATTTACCCAATTGTTTAAATGCATTAATATTCCACCTAAAAATAATGGCATTAATTTTACTTTGAATAAAGTCTTCTATTTGTTTTATTTAATTATTAAATTGCACATTTAAATAACATCATGGGGTTTTGGGGTTTTGGGGTTTTGGGG